GCAAACCTACTACCTATCACCTAGATTCTGAAACTGACTTGTGCTATAAGGAATAGCTAACATATCTATCCACTTACTCATCTCTTACCCATCTTATTGCTTTAATTACATACTTCCAAGTAAGTTGTAGACACCAGTACGCTTTGCTCTAAAAACTTCAGTATGATATCAGTAGCTAGAATTTAAATTCAACTACTTAATTATTTTTAAAAAAGGATGACTTTTTGGGAAATGGGAGTGTTCATTATTTGATTATTGTACATTGTATGCACTATGGCCCAGACATGTAAATAATTAAACATTGTTTTGGGAAAAATCTGCCATTCTCTTTTTTTCCTTGCCTATTGCATCACTGGATTGAAGTGATTGTGCATTATTGATTTTCTAGACGTGGCTTACATGTAATTAGAAACCAAGTTAATTTGTGAAATGAATTTCATCAGATGTTATTTAGTTTATTTCTTCATATATAAAGTACAGTAGTTTTACGAGTGCTTTGATTCATTTCCACATTCTTCTCTAGGAAATTTGTAGAAAGTAAATTCCATTCTACCTGATCAACATCATGTGGCTGCCGCGACTCATGTGGCTCTTGAGGTTCTTGGGGTGAAGGACCGTGAGAGGATGAGAAAATAAAGATACAAAGCTGGGGTCGGGTGGAACCCTTACTCTCCTGATGGGAGGAAAGGAACTGCTCAACCACTGTAGCACTTTAATTTATATACTCAGAAGGACCATGTGGTTTCCACCCTGGTACCTAACAAACCATTGCTTGCGTTGTCCAGGGGGTTGGTATTCTGGGCTGAAGCAGCTTTTTGTTGTGTCTTGCCCTGGGTGCACTTTGCTCTTGGGATAGCCATGCTCCTGCTATGCTGTTTTTCTGCACGTGTGGTCAATTTTCAGCTTCAACAATTAATAATTTTAATTAGCTAATGATAGTTGATACTGTGTTTCTACAAAGCTCCACAAGGTGGTGCCCAAATATCTTTTTATCACAATAGTCCCTAAAGATTCCTGGTTAATCATAACTAATTTGTGTTAGTATTTGGCTTTTCTGAATTTGATCAGTTAGCATACTAGAAAATATATAACTAATAAAGAGTTACCTATTGTAAATAAAATTATACATGTATAAATTTAAAGTCTATAGTTATGGACATGAACAATAATGATTGTTAAGAAAAACTTTTATTTGCGTAGAGTTTTCAAAAAGTTTTTTTTTCACATCTCCATATAGTATAAAAGTAAAAATGATTTACCTTACATTTCTTGCACTGTAAACTTTGTCTCTGAATGATTTATTTCTACCTCACAGTTTAAAAGGACAAAAGAAATAAATTACTGGATAGGAAGAACTACACAATTTAGATATAACTCAAAAAGTGGTGACTATTACCTTCATCAGGGTCAATGCTGTGTAAACAAGTGTTACAATAGACTATGGGATAATAAGTTACTTAATATTCTTTAAATAGTTTTTTCTAGGAACCTGTTAATTGTTTAAAAACCTTCATTTCTGAATATTCTTACTAAATTTCACATACCCTGACCAGAAAATTAAAATGACTAGAGTTTCTTCAAACTCATGCAAATGATGAACCTACCTACATTACTGGCTATGTTTTGGTCAGATGTCCACAACACGGACCCAAGGCACTACAAGCAGAGTAATAATCCCCAGGTCCTCACACAAAACTTCCTAAACATGGAGGAGAAAGTTCTTCTGCTAATTCAGGTCTCATAATGTGTGTCCACTGCCCATAATAGCCCAGGGCAGGAATTCATATTTATTAGTGAGATCTGAGACTATTAAAAGGCCATATTAAACCCATATTTTGAAAACATTAATTGTTGACACTATACTCTTTTTCTAAAGCTCTAGTGTAAGCTGGATGGTGCAAAAGCCAATAAATATCCTGGAGCTCATAGGAATAATGAAAGATGCTCAGTTAATGTAAACGTATTCCCACACTGATTCACAATTTGATATTTGGATGGATTTAAAAATGTATTCTCCGCATTATTAATTATGAAATGGAAGAATTAAATAAAAATTATCTCTACATTGAATAGAGATTGAATCTTTGAGAGTCAATGCTATTATTTGGCCCCAGTACAAAAATGTTTAAATATCAATGGTGGTAGGGCAGAAGAATTAAGGAATTCATCAAATATGGTGTAACACCTTCTAATATCAGAAAGCAGAGTCAGCTAAGTTAAGAATAGCAAACATTTTCTCCATTAAGAGAAAGTTTAATCTTAGTTTAAATGGATCTAATCTTTCTCTTTTGGTGTGTGCAGCATGAAAAAAATTAAGCATGCTTTATCCACTAAAGTGAATGGATAATTTAAATAAAAACTGAACATCCAAACCTAAGACACAGGCCAATATACTTTTTGATGTTCATTAGAAAGAAAAATTGTAAACTTTTCCAGATAGTGCCTTGGCTATTTAGGTGTAAAGTAATTGTTTTTTTAGTAAGGAATAAACAACATAGTAACAGGAAATACTAATATTAGAGGAATATTTTAGAGGAAGGGACATTTAGTAGTTTTCAGTTTAGTGCAATGAAAACTTGTGCTGTCATTGCGGTCTAGCATACAATGGGTGTTGCATATGTGACAGTAACTCAAGCTGGAGACCAAATGACAGAATGAGGTATATTATGAAGTAAACATTATAAAAACGATTGATTGATTATAAACCTAAAATTATTCAAAAGTAGTTCAGTAAGCAATAATAACAATAGAAATAATAGAGTAGAATAAAATAGAAATAATAGAAAGGAACAGAGGGCAAGTGGAAGGAACAACTCAGCCGGAATTTGAGGAGAGGGAGAACTGGCGTCTTGCTACTTCAAACTTATGCAATACCACATTTGCTAAATGCTATTTCCAACGATCACTTTCATTTCCTTACTGTCTTTGAAACTTTCTTTTTGCTGATAATAGAATAAATATCATTTTGCAGTTTTTCTAGGTTACTGATGAAAGATGTGCAAGAATGCCCAAGTTGGGGCTGGAGATTTAGCTCAGTGGCATAAGCGCCTGCCTTGCAAGCAGGTAGTCATGAGTTCGATCCCCGGTACCGATAAAAAGGAAAAAGACAAAAAAAAAAAAAAAAAAAAAGAATGCCCAAGTTACAGTCTTGGGGCAAAAGGGATAATGAATTCCCCAAACTTCAGAGCTTCAGAGCAAGTGTTAGAATTTCTACTATGTCAAGTTTTAGAATGAAAAAAGCAAAACAAAACGAAACAGGGACTTCTAACAGGGAATTTTTCAAATTTGATCAGAACGTCATGGCATTCTCCTTTCTCCATTGGTAATGTTCTTTCAGCAGCGCGGGGTGTGGCTGAAATTGAAAGGAGTGAAATGTTAGCCTTCAAACAGGAGATCTTTAATCCATCTCTCCCTCTAGGAATCATCAATTTGCTTCTTAGAGACATTATTATTCTGCATGATGTTAATTTGCCCCAGGAAAAAGAAAGTCAACCTGGAAAAAATTGATTTCCTGTTCTTTGTTCCATGTGTCACAAAAGTGAAAAGTGTGGCTCATATCCGTGGTTGTTTCCTGGGAATTTCCACTTTAAGCCCCTACAAAACTTCCTCAGTTCCTCAAAAGCTGCTCTGTGATAAGGAGACAATGAAAACAGGAACATTCATGTAGGTACTGTACTTAGTTTAATGATGCAAAGGTTGTTACAAGTGAGGCTCAAGGGTCAGACAGACCTGAGTTAAGTCCCATCCTGGATTTGTAGCTTTATTATAACCTGGGGAAAGCAATTGTCTCCATGTCTGCAGAAGGTGCATTCTTTATTTTTTTTGAAACACTTTTATTTTCTGTTCATTTAAGAAATTCCTTTTAAATGTTTTTGAGATAATTGTAGATTGGCAGGCAGTTGAAAGAAATAATGGAGCATTCTCTGTATCCTTAGCTTGACCTCCCTCAATGGTAACATCCTGTAGGACTCTAATGTAATATCAGGACCAAGGTGTGGACATTGATAGTCAAGATACTGATTCTTTCTGTCACCACACAGATCCCTCCTGTTGCCCCTTAATAAACACATCACTGTCTCCCCTCTGCTCCTCCCTCTCCTTCCAAACTCCTCTTAACCACTCTTCTGTTCTTCATTTATGATTTAAAATATATTCTTGTGGAGACCCGGATGAAATAACGTGTGTAAAGTACTCAGTGTTGTGCCTCACCCTTGGTAAGTGATCATGAAATGAAGGCTTTATTGTTACAAGGAGAAAAGTCCGTAAAGGTTAAAAAGGTTTTCCTAAGAAAGCTAATATATAGCCTCTGTCTCAGAGGCAGCCCGCTAGACATCTCCTAGTCAGTTGTTGAGGGGTCAAGTAGTTTCTTGCAGGAAATTTACAGCCATGACCTTAACTTATTAAGTACTGCCACCAGAAGGCAGAAGATAGGGAAAAAGGCAGTGGAGCACCTACGGTGACTTTCTCTTTTTGCATGAGCACCTCAGAGGGTTGAACACTGTACAACTGCCTCTCAGTTATACTTCCTAAGTGGAAAAGACTCCCATAGAACCTAGTGGGGAACCAAGCCTCATCTAAGACTACCCTTTCACTGTATGTCAACTTTTTGCTGTGAAAATTTCAAAAAGTACAGAAGTAGAAAGGCTAGAATAATGGGCTTCTATATACTCATCATCTAGCTTTCACAATTATCAACCTGTTATCTCTCTTGAAAAGGCAGTTTTTAGTCTGAGTCTGGTATCACTTTATTCCTTTACAGAGCTGTTTAGAACTGTCATTTTAACATATTAGAAAAAGAAAAAAATGGCAGTCAAAATTGAATGACCTGCCATGAGGAACAAAAACAATGTCAATAACTGCTTAAAATACAGACAATTTGCTCAGGCGATTACAGTGGTCAGGAAAACACAGACTTACTCTGAGAGGGTGCTGTGCCTTTAAGTTGCTTACTGATCCCACCCAGATCTTGCACCCTGGCCAGATGCCTGACTTACTCTAATAAACATGAATCAAAGATTGCAAAAGATCCAAAGGCAAAGACAATTTTTTATTTCCCATGGAACAGAACAATGTCAAATAGTTAACTCCATCGTTAACAATAGCCCTTGCTGTGGGCATTTATTCAATCAGTCTTTAATTCCTGTTTGACAAGCTTTATAAGGTAAGGTTTACCACTTTGCTTTAATCATGTAAATAAGCAAGGGCCATTTAGGGTCTGTGGAAGGTTAAATGATTTATGTACTTATGCACAGGAAGCTTGTCAATATTTTTTAATCTTTGCTATTACTTTAAATCAATTATTAGATAAATAAGACTAATTTTTAAAATTATAAATGCAAATTGTATTTATTTTTAATTTATAGTACTAGATTGCCTGGAAGTAATGTTAATAAAAATAAATAAATTTTTGTGGGGCATTTAAAAATATTAGAATAAGTTTTTATGATTCGGGGTTAATTAGAGAATATAATTTGGATAGTTTGGCAATTTGAAAAAAGATTTTATTCAGTCATTTTATATTTATGGAGAAACAAGATGTAAACACTGAATAAAATTGGTTAACTTTTAATTAATATTCAATAACATTGATAAACTGAAAGGTAATTTCATTTCTGAAATATTACAAAATATACTTGGGTTTATATATTCCAGTATTTATCAAAAATGTAATTCAGGCAACAAAAATATAGCACTTGGCTAAAAGATCAGAGTTTCTGCCATTAATAAAATTCAACCTATGGTAAACAGAGATTTACATTTCTTTTATTTAACTATTGATATTTTCACCCTTTAAGCCCATTATATTTGCATGTGAAATCTAAAAGAGAGAAAGGTGAGAATTATTAAAAACAGAGGAAATGAAACCCAGTAAAAACTGATTAAAAAGGGAAACGCTTTCATAATGCCAAACTAATCAAGGAGAAAGACTTCAGGAAGGCACAGGAACTAAAGCACTAGAAAAAAAATTGTAGAAGAATGTCCTTTGAGTGCTCCTGGGAATAAAAGGAAAAGCAAGATTTTGGTTTGAGAGAGGTAGATAAAAACTGTCTGAACAGATGGTAATAAAATACAAGATAGGGTTATTGCTATTGAATAAATTATGTTGGTGAGTATCATTATATGGGGTTCAGGTATGAATTCATGGTTATATGCCAACAAACCTGTATGACCAGGTGCTCAGTTTAAAGGAAAGATAAATCTTTGTTTAAAACTAGAAATTCCAAAGACTTAAAAGAGTCCTACATATGGAAAAAATGATTTTCTTCTCAGGATCCTACATGGAAATCACCTTCTTTAGGTTTTTGAAGAGTTGCTCCATTATGTAGCTTACAAAATTTCTCTTGTTCTCAGTGAAATTTAGTTCACTGGCTCTTATTTCTGGAACTTCAGAAGTGTTCATTATGATATGAACTCAACCAAATATAAATATCTTGTGTAATACCGTGGATGTAGTGTCACTAACTTTTTCCTTTTGAAAGTGTAATAACACCTGGGGTTTTCTTTATACCCTTATCTTTGCACTGATCATCAGGATTATTTGTTCTTTCTGTCTCTCGGTCTCTGTCTCTGTCTCTCTCTTCCTCTTTCCCTCCCTTTATTTGTTTTTGAAACAGAGTCTCATTATGCAGTTCAGGCTGGCCTTGAGCTCACTTTTGTAGCTCAGGTTGGTCTTGCATTCACAATGATTCTCCTGCCTCAGCCTTTAGAGTACTGGGATTACAGACATGCACCATCATGCCTGGTTAATCTTCCTCTCTTTGGTCAGCAAAGGGATCACCTAAGGAAGGAAGCATGTCTGCACCATCATGCCTGGTTAATCTTCCTCTCTTTGGTCAGCAAAGGGATCACCTAAGGAAGGAAGCATGTCTGCACCATCATGCCTGGTTAATCTTCCTCTCTTTGGTCAGCAAAGGGATCACCTAAGAAAGGATGTCCTTTGTGTGTTCTATTTCCTTAGTGCAATTTTTTACCCAGCTGTCTTTAGATGTTAGCATACCCAGTCTGAAGGTCAGTTAGCATTTAACCAATTGCACTAGACACATTTGCCAGCAGAGATGCTTCATTGTACAGCAGTGAAGTTTTCTCAAAATTTTCTGCTGGACAGTGTTATTTAGGAGCAGACTCTGACAAAAAACTATCCATTTCTCTGTCCCCAACCCAACAGCTTTGCTTCTCTTTGGGATTTGTCCATCTGGCAAGTATGAAAGAAGTCAGTCTCCTGTTTCCCTTCTCATTGCCTTTGCATGTATTTCCACCCTCTGTTGAGGGCCTGGAAAAATCACGCTCATGAGTTCCCACTTCACATTCCCTGAAGGCAAGGTGCCAAAGAAGAAAAATGTGATTCCTTTTCCAGAACTCCTAGTCAATATAATTTAAGCATGAAAGCATTTCAAAACCATACGGAATACTGGTTCAAATAAACTTTCCTCATTCCCATTCTCCTGGGTATATTAAGCTACCAATATGTCAGTCTTCTTTTGTCAGGGAATTTTCTAGGTCTAAAAGTAGTTTGGTGTATAACTGAGCATACTGATTAAAAGATGAATGAAGATTTTAGTGCAGAATTAGAATTTTCATCTTTAACCTACCCAGAAAAATGGTTTCATGAGGCTGTAGGGAGGGGTATTTCTAGACTGCCAGTCTTTTTCTGACAGTTCTTGTAGTGAACACTGGAAGAACAGTGTTGTTTTGCTCTCACTTTCTTTGAATACGCAGTGCTAGTTTGGTGCTCTGGTGGACACAAAGTTTCCAAAGCAAGAGTAGAAGAAAGAAATGTAGTTAATGGAAACGGGCAGGGTAATTTAATTTTTGGTTTGTCCTCTGAAGTTGTATATATATTAGAACCGAAAGGGTAGTGGCTCTCTACAATACTGCAATCAGTTATAATGCAAATGAGTGAAATCATCATGTTGCAACATGAATTCACTTTGGAGAATTCATTCTGGAAATGTCAAAACAGATGCTGGGTTTTAACCACATTTTCTATACGAGTGGAACTGAAATGTACTTCAGTGATTCTCCTCATTCCTTGCTTCTCATAATGTCATGAGAAATTAAGACTATTTGGCAATAGTTATTTGCATATACAGAAATATTTACTAATAAGTGTTTGATCATGGTGCTATGATTTTCTTGGATTAGAAACTTAAAATCTCAATGCGATCTAGTCCAAAAAAATGTTCAACTGAAGTGAATAGACACTTCTTAGAAGTACAAATGCCCCATGAATACATCAAAACATGTTAAGCATCTCTGGCCATTAGAGAATGCAAATTAAAATAACACTGAGATTCTATCTTACTCCAGAAAAAAATGAATCTCATCAAGAAATCAAATAATAACAAATGCTAGTGAGGCTGTGGAGAAAAAAGGAACACTTCTACATTGCTGGTGAGACTACAAACTAGTCCAAGTACTGTAGCATCAGTATGGAGATTCCTCAAAAGCTAGAGCTCAAAATTCTATTTGACCTAGCTCTTTCCTTTCTAGGTTTCTTCCAGAAAGAGTTAAAGATTCCACGTTACACAGGTACATGTGTATTCACATTTCTTGCAGCACAATTCATAATAGACAAAACTTGGACATGGTCTATAAGTCCATTAACAGATGAATGTGTAAAGAAAATGTGGTATTTGCATAAAATGGAATACCACTGTGCTACAAAGAAAAATCAATTTAGGTTATTTGTAGATAGATAGATGCAATTTGAGGCCACAATGTTAAGTGAAATAAATCAGACATACAAGTTAAATATTATATAGTTTCTCTAAATCCATGAGTATAAATAAATTAAAGAGCAAAATAAAAGATTAATAAACAGAAACAGAGATAGATCTCTTGAAAATGGAAAGGGTACCAAGAGATACAGGGTGAGTGGAGGAGGGAATAGGAAGAGGATATAAAGAGAATTAAGATGTGTTATGTACATGTACTGACTGCTCACAATGAGTGTAATTAAGTATTACAAGCATACTGATATAAATAAGTAAAATATCAGTGTGACTGTTTTTCTAGAAATATAAGTGAAAAATTCTGCCAGTTTTTGACTCTAGAAGATGGACATTTAAAAAGAGTAAATTTATTAAAGTATTTATAACTGATTTTTCTATTCAAGGTTCTTTTTCACCAACTATCATAATGTGGAACAGATACTTTACCTCCTGCCTCCTACTTTTGCTGCCTTTTATCAGTCAAATGGTATACGGACAAAGAAGAAAAGGATCAAAGCTAAATTCACTTGCAAGGAAAAATGATCTCCAGGGTAAAAAAGGTTTTATTGTAGTTTTTATTTATTAGTTTTTATCCTGTTAAAATAGTGGTAGGTTTTATCATTTCTAAATGGCACTTGATGTATACTTTATCTTAACCAAAAGGGTGAGATTTGATAGTATTTGATGCAAATAGCAAACCACATTCATACATACTTATGATGTTCTACAATGGTGTAATTAATACATCTTTCTTTTCAGGAACAAATCAGAGACTTTAGGGCACTTGTGAATATTATGTTGTTTGGGCCTAACTTGTAAAACAGGCAAGTCTAACACTGTACTCTCACAGATAAAGAAATTAAAGCTTAGAGAGGTTGGATGACATATTTAAGGCCATAAGCAGATATTAATAAGAACAGAGCTAGAATTCAAACTTAAATGACCTGTTTTCAAAATAAAGTTCTTTTCCTTTTTTTGGGTATAATGCTGCACAATTATTTTCTCCTTTGATTTTAAAAAAGTTAATAGCAACAACAGCAATAAGACAAAGTTGGCACCCAGTAATATGTACACAATATAAGAATTAGGGCATTGTTTATTTAGGTCTAGACAACTTTGCCTTGTGTCTGTTGAATACTTAACATGTGACAGACTCTCTTTTCCTCTTACTTTAAGTGGGTTTAACATTGAGACAATGCTGAGAAATATATTTTATTGATCTATATGAGTTTAATTTGCACAATATTACAGGGGTAAAGATGTTTTTGGCTTGGAAAGAGATTTAGTTCTTTACAAACGGAGCCTCATTTCTAAAGTGATCTCTCATCATTCAGGGTGTTGGGAATACTCAACACGCTGACATCTCAGTAACAAAGAGCACACAGCACACTGAACACCAAGTCAGGACCCACCTTATACAGTGTTGACCCATAAGCAGAGACCATCCTGTTGCCTAACCTTTTTGTTTCATTTCAGACTCCGTTTGCTTCATAGATGTTCTCTTCATCGTGGACAGTTCTGAAAGTTCTAAAATTCTCCTGTATGATAAGCAGAAAGATTTTGTGGATCACTTGAGTGACAAAATTTTCCAGTTGATCCCAGGTCGTTCCTTGAAATATGACATCAAATTGGCAGCCCTTCAGTTTAGCAGCTCTGTCTTTATTGGTTCACCTTTTTCTGCTTGGAAAGACCTGCAGACATTTAAGCAGAGGGCCAAGTCTATGAATTTAATTGGGCAAGGTACTTTCTCTTATTATGCCATCTCTAATGCCACAAGGCTACTTAAGAAGGAAGGACGTAAAGATGGTGTGAAAGTGGTTTTGCTGATGACAGATGGCGTTGATCATCCAAAGAATCCAGATGTTCAAAGCATTTCTGAAGATGCTAGACTTTCAGGAATATCATTCATCACGATTGGACTTTCCACTGTAGTCAACGAAGCTAAACTTCGTTTGATATCTGGGGATTCACCCAGCGAACCCATCCTACTGCTGAGTGATCCAACTCTTGAAGATAAAATTCAAGATCGCCTGGTAAGTACCTAATGAGATGATTTTGTGTTTCTCATCATGATTTTGATATTTTGGTAATAAATTCTAGAAAGAGATATATTATGCTAAAAGATGAACAAATTAAGGATTCTCTATGGAAACAGGAAAAAAGAAAGAAATTTTCTAAAGCTTCTCTCTACTTTCATGATAATTTATACCAAATAAATTGGGAAAATATGGGACTCATTCCTTGACAATCCATTCTGAATTGTTGTAAATGCTGAGGATTTTGGAAGGATAACTTTCTAATCATACTCTTGTTTCTGTTTAGACATCTAAAGACTATGACCACTGCTAATTTGTGGTTAACTTGCAGTCTGATAGTTTTGTAACTAAGTTTGTCTCTTCCCATTTTGCACCTACAGAAATCTCTTTTACTTTCTTGTCTCACCTATTACTACATTGCACTATTTAAGCAAAAGCTACAGACTACTATTTTAAAATTAGCTTTTTTGGGAGGTGTATCAGGAATTGAACTCAGGATCTCACACTTGCCAGGCAGATACTGCACCACTGAGCTCAAACCTGGCTCCAGACTGCTATTTTTAAAAGTTACCTCCTTGTTTCTCAGAGGTTAAGAAGCCCATCCAGTTTAAAATCATTGATAATCTTCAGTCAACCAACAATTTCTCCCATCAGATCAACAAATCCTACTCAATTGGTCAGGTTTTACCTGTGCTTTTCTATAATGATTGAACAGCTGTATGTGAGGACCTGTCTTTGCTGCTTTGAAAACACAAATGAAAGCAATAAAAAAAGAAATCCCTCCTCACTACATTTCTCAAGGAGAAAACTGGAGATAAATTGGTTGATTTGTTAAGTGTTAAAAATTGATTTTCTTAAGAATAATGATTTCTCTGATTTCCAAGAAGGCAGGATAAATGTGTCCTGTAAGTACTAAGCAGTTCATAGTGATATTTCCATATGTTGCAAAGAAAATTTAGGTTCTATTTCAAAGATTGTTTTGGTCCTCTTGTCCCCTCCCACATCTTTTTCTCACCCCTTATGTTTTTAATATTAGTTGTTCGTAGCATGAAACCTGGATTTTCCCTACCCAATACTGTCATACATTGAATGCTTTCCGTGTATTAGGTATCACGCTAAGCACTTTACATTTTTTATTTCATGAGTGTTTGCCACAATCTTATAGCAATTATTATTATCATTCTATTTGATAGGTAAAAAGGCTAGCCAAGACCCCAGACCATATAGGCTCAGCCTTGTGCAACTATATTCAGAGAGGAATAGTAACTTTCTTTAAGGTTTTCTCAATCAGAATTGCCCTGAAACAGTTAAACAACGTCTCAGTTCCAAAGATACTATTCTTTCTTTACTGTTATCCTCGGGTATCCTCCGGGAAGTTCTGCTTTTCTTTAGACAGAGATGATGAGCCCAACCCTGTGATGCCTGAGGTGAGTGCTCATCCGAGTAGGTCTTTTGTGTGAAAGGGAAGCGTGCACCCAGTGCTGTCTGTGCCCACAGTTCAGAGGTCTTCACACTCAGTTAAAACTGAAATGTTCCAGAAGGGAAACTGGAATGTGTAGAAGGGTTCATGTTTGAACATGAGCAGCCTGGTGACCCTGTGTGTGAGAAAAACTTACTGTAACAGATGCAGGCAGCCAGCTCTTTGTTTGGCCAGATGTGCAGGCTCAGGATGTTCCTACTCCCCCAGAGCTACCCTCCCTGAGAGCTGCTGCCCGACCAAGGAGACAGGCTCTGGGCAGAAGACTGAAGGCAGAACTGTTTGTTTCTGGGGAAACCAAAAACTGACCAGCAACAGTGCTTTTCCTTAGCCTCCTGTGTTTGTTCAGATGGGAGCTCAATGAACAATCCTCTTCTTAGAAGGGAGTTCTGCTTTCAAAACACTTCCCAGGTCCTCAGTGCTCATTAGGTGCTTCAAGAATGCTACACCACGTTCAGTGTTCTAAACAGCAGCCACCCATGAAGCGGAACCTGACTCTTGATCAGGTCATTGGAAAAATTCATGACCTGTTTCTATTATTATATCTTTAGTTGATTTTTTAACCTTTTATTTTGAAGTTATTATGTTTTCAACAATGTTAGTGAGGTATAATTTAAGTACAAAACTGTATCTACTCAAAGTGTACAATTCTATGAGTTTTGACAGCTATAAAGATTCATGATATCAGATACCAGCAACACAATTAGAAAACAAACATTTGCATCATCCCCAGTGTCACCTTGTGCCTCTTGGTACTACACATCTATCTTACTCTTGAGCTACTGATATGACTTTTGTCACTCTAGCTTAGTGCACACTTTATAGAATTTTATATAATCTGAGCTGCTTATGGATCAGCGATGTGTGTATTACTTTTTATTGTAGAGGAGAATCTAGTGGAACTTAATAGGCATGATTGCCCAAAATAATAGACTGTACAGGAACCAAGATAAACCACAGTATTACATCCCTTTTACAGTTCTAGGAGGAAATATCATGTAAGAACTTCATGAAAACATTTCCATTCTGAATTAACCAAGAGACATGAACATTATAAGTGAAGTGAATATGTGAAATGTTTTTAATCATTACTTTACTATGATTTATACAATAGTCTTGAATCATCAGTAGCAAATTCAGCCCAGTGTCTCAGATGTATTATTTGGTCCTTTAGAGAAGTAAGAGCTAAACCTGTCCCCAGGCTACTATTTTTAAAAGTTACCTCTGAGTTATTTCTGACAAGTTAAGAAGCCCATCCAATTGAAATGTGTGAAAATTAAAACAAATTTTTTTCTGTATTACCTTTAATGCAATTATTTAAATAACCTTTATGAGAATAAGTGTTATGACAAGTTAGTCTGTCTGAAGATTTTTAAGAAAAATAAAAATTTTTGGTATTACTTCCATTATGTCAGGAATTAATTTGGTAATGTCTTTATCATCTTTAGAGCCATATGCTTTACTTATTTATTAATTATACTACCATTCTCATTTCTCAAGGCTTTCTTTGGAGTCTTGTTTCTGTTTTTTTTTTTTTTCAATTATACACTAGCAGTTTTGCTTTTATATCTAGCTGAAAAGGATTTGTTTTCTGGTCATGGAATTTGTTATCATTGCCCACTAAGTCCTTTACTTCCATCCTGTTTGCTAACCGGGGCTTGTCACTTCATCCCTTTCTCACATTTTCTTTAATCTGTATCTAACATTGACTTTATGCTCTCAAATTACATCAGTCTCACAGTTTTCACTCTTTCTCCTTTGACAAACCACCATAAAACTGTGAATCTTTTGGCAAAATGCACCTTTTGCTCTAATGATGACATTTCTGTTTGTGCTCCGCACTGAAACTCCACAATCCAACTAGAACATAAGAGAATAAGCTTTTCCCTCTGACTTGGACCATGGGTGCCCAGCTGCTGTCCTTGTAGCCTGACTCTCTCACTGCCCTACACGGAGGCCCTCACTACTGCTAAGACATCCAGCGCAGTCCCTGTGGGGCCGTCTGTCTCCTTCATTGCTTCTTTTGTCTTATTACCCACACTAGTCTTTATGACTTTTCTTCATAAACTCTGACATATAGAGTAGCCTACCAGCAATGAGTTGATCTTTTGCAAATTGTCCAGAAATCCCACCAGTTCCAAGAAACCAGCTTGTTACTGAATGAATGCTCCATGTCTAGCCCAGGACCTCCTTCCTATGCTGCTGCTTTGTGTCGTCCTCTGTCCCTGGGGCTTATAGACTATAAGTGACCTTAGGCATGGGACTTTGTTCTTTGTGCAAAACAGTCTTGTCATTGTGTAGTTTTGGGTCCAGTTTTGTTTGCATAGAAATATAAATTCCAGCACACACAAAATCAAATGACTTCTAAAAATAGTTATTTGTGTTGTGGTTTTAAACTTTATGGCACATATTTTTAAAGAGCAAATGAAGCAAAGCAAAAATTTAACTTTTAGGGGAAGAGCTGAAAAATTATATAAAAGAAAAAACAAAAAATAAATTAATGAATTTAAAAACAGATAAGGATATTGGTTATTTTAGAAGTGTAAAATGACAAAACTTGGACTTTTAAAAACTTCAGTAGTTGTTTTCAAATATTACAATTTTACTTGAATTATCAAAGCTTTTAAAATCACTTCTTATGAGCTCCTTTTGAGTTTCTTTTTAAATTTTCCTTCCTCATGGTGAACAAGCTTCTGATGTATATGTTTTAAGTATTTTCAGAATTCTGATTATATTGCATATGTCCACGTGCAACTTACTTTTGCACTCAATGTTTTTAAAAATTTGACTATGTTGAATTACATAGATCCATGCATTTACTTTAGCTGCTGAGTAGTATTTCATTTATTGATCCATTCCTCTGTCGATGGATGTTTTAATTGTTTTGAATTTTTTACTATTAATAGGTCTTGTACTCTAACTACTTTGAAGATAATGATATACAGTGTACTAATGACTGTTATTCTCTTAGTATTTGCTTATGAAATTTTGTTTTATGTTTTCATAAAAAAACCATATCATAAACATGGAAATTTGTTGGCAGGGGGAAAACACAATGAATATTGAAATGTACAAGTAGAAGAATATTTCTAGGGTTTATCTGGAGGGGATAGATGAATATAAGGTAAAGATGGGAATTGTCCTGGCAGCCTAGAGGTGAGGCAAGCACATTGCAAGCATTGCAGGCAGCACCCAACATTATGTAGAAGGGAGGTACAGTTTTATACTGGGACCTCCGTGTATCTGAGTTCCTATTTCTCCATAGGACCTACTAGCTCTTAAAAGATTCAATTATCTCATCCATTTCCAGCCTGGACTTGTTTGTCAAGGAATTTAAAATCATACTGGAGAGGTGATAGACAAGACTTGAGTTTTTATAAATAGCACCTATGGCCAGAGTTTTATAGTTCCTGAGAATATGTGTTCAAAATTTCCTCCTTTTTTATGGGAAAAACTACCTGGACTTGCCCAAATATACATGACTTATTTATGGCTGAAACAGGATGGAAACCCAGGAATACACTTAATTCCTAGTCTAATTTTCCCCCATGAAATCATTAGAATCACTTAAAACTTCTTGCTTTTTCCTCCTCTACTTCATTTTTAATTTGCATGTAAATAAAGGCAAGACAAAAAACTAAACTGAAAGGATATAGCCTCTTCCATGTAGATGCACACTGATTTATCTTTGATTTCCTTGTAATTTTTAATATCTTATAACAAGTATTAAAGGGATTTTCTCCTTCAGATTTCTATTTTACCATATGTAAGCTACCTCTGAGTTCAATCATTAATTAGCACATAACTTCTGTTTTAGGAAAGGATTAACCCCATCCATTAGCACCGGTTAATTTCCTTCTCATGTTGTCTTCCCACATGGCGTTCAGTGCGTTTGTCAGACAATAAAGTCATTGAGCTGCAGGACCTGAGAGAGGCCTATGTGCTGGACAAAACACAACAGTTCTGTAAAATTGTGCACTTCAAAGAATTTTGAGAAATATTCTGGTTAATTCATTCCTGTGTAGGTGTGTATGATGTGACCCTATAGATTGTCAAGAGATTCTCCCCAAATGTGTGGCCCCAATCAGGTCATCACTATGGCTCCAAATTTGCTGCCTTACTATAAGTGAGAGATTGGACCTGCTCAACTTCTCAGGCTATGAATATAATAAAATATATTTGTTGTATGTTATATATGTATATATTTCATAATGACCATCTTTTTTACTATGAAAGATATTTTATTTTTCCATAATTTAAAATTTCCCCTGAAGTGGAAAGTTATAAATGTATGTCTTCTTTATATAATGCAAATTGCTACACACAGTTCAAATTTTCTATAAATTTTTTAATATTCTTAAAATTTATTTTTTAATTAAAGAATTTTTTTTGTACTGGGAATCGAACTCAGCTTTGTGCTTGCCAGGAAGGCACTGTGCTGCTGAGCTACATCTCCAGAAATATCGTTAAAATTTAAAAACTGAGTTTGTTTCCTATGTCAAACTTTTAAAAATAGAATACTATATTTGAGGCTCTTAAAATTTTAAGTAGAACATGCTTCCTCCTGAGATTCTAGTAATGGCAATCTTTGTCTTTCCGTGATCTAGGTCATTTAAAAAAATGCCATTAAGCTTTCTAATTTTCACATTTTGAGATGTAATAAAATTATTAAGACCCACTAATATTTTGTGAAGTTATGACTCTAAAATTAACATTCTAAAGCTAATTTAAATGGAAAAAATAGAAGATATGAAAATACACAATTATGTACTGTGTCTCAGTCTTTGCAAGAGTGAGAACTTCTCACAACTGACTAAACTTGTGGCTGAATTATGGACATTTTACAGCTGCTAAAAACCCCCAACAAAAGATAAAACATAGAATGTAATAGAATAAGATTCTTAGAAAACACGGTGATTTTTAATATGACTCTTTGAGTCTCCTGTAAATACATGGCTGAGAGCGCTCCTTGAGTGGTTTGTAGGTTTTATTGCTTTTACAAGGTTGAAAGACTGAATTACTTTTCTTCTTGGAAATTGCATATCCCATAGGGAATAATTAAGACTAATAAGAAACTAGAAGCAGAACCCATTAATTGAGTTAATGTTTCATTCTTTTTTCTCTTGTAGGATATTCTGTTTGAAAAGAAGGTAAGCACCACCTGTCTTGCCTGCAAAGAATTACTCTAAAAGCTTGTATTAACAAATCAGCATTATAATCCACATTAGAGGATAAAGTATAACCAAATAAAAATGCTTAATTCCTTTTAATATGAGCTGCTCTTTTTAAGGCATATATCTGATTTAAAAAAAAGTCATCATATCCACTGCAGGTTGCAAAATTTAGAAAATGTAGGGACTATTTAATGATTCAGGTGGTGATTTTAAAATTCTGTAATAATCAAATAGCATAGTTTTTGCTTTATTCTACGCGTATCTCTGAAACTAGCTTCTTATTGAAGGCTTCTATTTTATGTAGAAACCTTCATGGTGTTGGCCTTGATAAGGCTAGCGCTAAAAGACAAAGTTGAGTCACCCCTTCCTGCACTCTATTGAGCTTCACTTTAAGCTCACTCTTTTGAAGAAAAGGAAGCCTAACAGTGGCAGCCAGAGCACATGGCAAAGGAAGCTGGCCAAAAGTGATCAGTTGGATAGGATTCAGCAGATCATGCATGTGCCAAGAATTTCTGAGCTAGACAGGCACTTCTTAAAGTAAAGAGTTTTGAATATATGAACTTTGTTCAACAAGCTGCTTTGTAAACATCAGGATATTTACAAGCATTATTCTATAAAATAATAGAAACCCCAACCTTGTCAATCATCAGGTTTAATTGAGTTGTACATGGTCAGTTACACCATTATTTTATATACTATCAAGAAAGGAAAAATCCTTGCCAATTAAGCTATGATACAAATACTTTCTCATTCATTACAATTTTTATTTTGTACTTACAGAAAAAGTCTCTGTAGATTTATTTAAGTATAAAGTTTTTATTTCTGAATTCCTTTAGTGCATATATGTAAGTGCAAATATAAGCAGAATACAGTGATTATTTCTAAAACTTTACATCAGGGCACACATCTTCGTTATCACTTTTTGTGTGAGTTGATGATAGCCTTGTTTTTTCATATAGTGCACTAGCCCCTGTGCCATTGAAAATATGTGATGCAGCATTTGTTAAGAGTACTCTGAGATTTTCTACTGTTTTATTCTGTTTTGAAATGTGTGAGTAGAAAACAATGATTTCTACACTCAGAGCTGTTAGACAGCTATTCGAAGACTCATTCTGACTTCAATGATGTTAGGATGAAAAATATTCATCTTACTCTAGATAAAATATGGTATACATAGAATGTCTTATTTTGCCAAGTAAAGGGGAATTTAGTATTACTGTGTTATTGAGCTTTGATATGTTTGATATGTAAAAATTTTTAAAGTTCACTAAAAATTTTTATTTTTATATGTTAACTGTTCCCTCTCTCTACATATGTGTGTGTGTGTGTGTGTGTGTGTGTGTGTGTGTGTGTGTGTTGGTGTAAATCTATTTTATTTAACTATGGCCAGATCTAATAATATTTTAGTAGCTGGCTGTTACTAAGCCAAGATTGCCTGGGATAATTTAATAGAGGCAGCAAAATCTCCATATACTTATAAGGTGAACTTTCTCCAAGCGTTCCAGTTAGTTATGTGCCAGATTAAATTTGAAATGCTACCCTATACTGTATATCACTCTTTATTAACACTGTGTTTCCTTATCGATCCAGTGTGAACGCAGGATTTGTGAATGTGAGAAGGGAGATCCAGGTGACCCAGGGCCTCCTGTGAGTACGTCGTTTCTTGGAACTTACAACTGAGGAAGGCAATGATAAAAAATAATGGAGTTGTTTTCAGGAAGGACTTTTCAGTGTTATTTCTTATTTGATCATTGGGCCAGAATTTCTCAAAACCAAAACAGAATGCAAAGTGATTGATGCCTTAGGCAAAGCTTTATCCCGTTAGAAACAAGAGACACCGTTCTCTCTTGCAATAGCAACACCATGTGGCCGTGTGAAGAGGATGCTGATGAAGGCACTGAGGGGTAAGGTGAAATCTGTGACAGTGACAGGATTTACTACGATGATTCTGTATTTGGTAAGATCACTTCTAAAGGAGTTCTTCCTTTACATTCTGGCCTAGTGCCTGGTAGGTGCTATGTTTGTAGTTTGAAGGCATCTGAAATGACGTCAGGACTACTGGAGATTCTGAACACTTCTGACAGAATCAGAAAGCACCCGGCTATTCATTCAACATTTCATTTACTTGTGTGATTTGAAAACTTTTCTATAGAGTTCAGAAGTCTGGGAATGATATTTCACAAGATGTGTAGATAAAATTTGTGAACTAGTGCTTATATTTGGAGACAGGTAGGTGAGTGTTTGCAAGTACGACACATTTTATTTTGGGACTTTAGACCAAAGCCTATACTTTTCAAACCACTCTACTAAGCAAGGCATTAAGGGGTAGAGAAGATTATCTTTTTTCCCCTCAAAATAAAATTTAGGAATATCATATGATATTGTGGCAGCCATAGAGCTGATTTTGACTAAAGCAAAGATTTAACCTTCCTTTCATGTTACGTCTTAGTTTATACTTAGTACACCAAGAGATTGCCAGGTGAAGAGACAGCTAACTATTATTTTTTAAATAAATAAGACAATAAGAAAGATAAAAAATGTTGAGCTAAACTGACGTTTTTAGTGATTCAATATTGTCATGGCTCTATAAACCATAGAGCTGGTACTTGATATGTATAGAGCTCCCCTAAAAACAGTTCTCAGAAAAGCAAGCTTTTTGGGGACTTGAGAATAGGAGGGCAAAATGCTTTTTCTGGAACAGAATAGGAGGGCCCCCTTCTTCCATCTTCAGAAAGTGTCCCCTGGATATCGGAACCTCTTTGACTGAAGTTGGGCAAGCAGCCTTGGTCCTTTTAAAAGTGGTGAAGTGTGTAGGAGGAGTTACAATAAGAGATTCAAAATGAACTAAGGATAGGAGCAGTTCCCATCTTCCTACCTGTTCGGTCATTCTTTTGGATCTCGGTGTAAGTGTGATGTTTGCAAAGCATGTGAGCAGTAACTGTTTGGGGTGGGGGAGAGAGAGGCATCCTCTTTTAGCAAATCTAGTGAATTTATCTATTCAAGGTAGTGCAGTCTTCCTACTGCTGGAAAAGGGAGAAAAGAGTTTAGCATCTGTTTGGTGACTCAAGGTTTTATAATATTCCTTCAATTTGTGGGATGTATTTAATCAGAAATTATTATAAAATATAGAAAACTAATAGAACATTTGCTCAAAATAATTTCTTTGCCCTTTACCTTCAGGGTACACATGGAAACCCAGGTATCAAAGGAGAACGAGGACCAAAAGGAAACCCGGTAAATGAATAAACAACTTTCATTTAAACCAGTAAAACTAGATTTCTTTAGATAATAAGAATTAAGAAAATAAAATATAGTGGTATATAGCAAGAATCCAATAATTTTTCTGAAGAACATAGCATGTTTACTTCCTAAATTATCTATCTTATTTGCACTAATTTGCATTCACAAATTCTACTCAGGATATATAGGAAACTTAGGAACATTGAATAAGTGGAAACTCAGTTAAATAAAAGGGATCCAAATTAATTTAGTACAGTTTTTTTTTTTTTTTTAAATCGGTACCAGGGATCAAACTCACAACTGCACGCTTGGTGCTTATGCACCAACTACAAGGCAGGTGCTTATGCCGCTGAGCTAAATCCCCAGCCCCTAAGATATCCTTTAATACTAAATAATTACATTCTAGAAACTTTGGAATCCAGTGGATTTTTATTTAAAAAAAGCAGTTTTATAATTTAAATAGTTTATTTTTGTGGATTTCAAACTTTTAAAAAGTTTCTTACAGCAATTAACAAAGGAATTTAAAATGGTAATAATGAGTGATAATGATGTGGTAGTGAAACTGATTTGCTCCTTATTGCAAAAATAACTGGACAAAAACATTTTGGAAAGCAGTTAGACTAAGAGGCATACAAATAGTTGAGACTTTAATTCAACCCTATTTCTGAGAATATTTTTGGGGAGGTAATGAAAAATATGTTATATTCATGAAAGCTTTTTTCTTTCTTTCTTTCTTTTTTTTTTTTTTTTTTTTTTTTTTGCTATTGTCTGCCTGCTAAGGAATTGTTTAGTCTTCTTGGGTCACTCTACCGCACACACACAAAAACACACAGTCAGCCCTACACCGACTCATTCATCTTTCGTAGCTCTAAATTGATGCCATTATCCTTTCTGTTGTGTTAAACACTTTTTTATTAATCAATGTGCACATGCCATTTATTTGGTTTGTAATTTTGTGCCCCATAATTTATTTTCCTAAGTCTTGCTGAACTCTAGCAATCCTCCTTGTGGACATATTGGAAAACATTCCCAAGCCTTTTGGAGACAAGCCAGAGTGTCTGGCTCCAAGCAAATACAATGCTTTGTTTGAGACAAACAACCAATATGGTTAAACTAAGATGTGGGCTAAACTGCAAAAATATACCTAGAGTCTGTACCCTGCACATCTGGCTTCTCTCCAAAAGTAAATCTGCCGCTATTTATTTTCTAGATTACATGGAGAAAGTATTAATGCTAAAGGCTTCAGAGGATTCCCTAATTGGGTTAACCTATCAATCTGGGACTTCTGAATAACACATTTTTTTTGACTGATCAGTCACTCTTCAGGACTGTGGAATTATGACAGAGTTTGTTATTTGTTGCAGGGTGATGCTCATAAAGGAGAACCCGGAGAAAGAGGTCCTGGGGTATGTAGACAACTAGAACACCTTCCTGGGAAAGCGACCCTAGAGTGCTATGAGTCAATGACTGACCATTGTGACCCCTGCAGTACAAGTGAAAAATGATTTCTATCTACCTGGCTCTTAATGACTCAGGGAGGCCATCAGAGAGATACAGACATGATCTTAGAAGTGCAAATATGGGTAGAAAATATTCTGCTCCTTAGGAGTGATGATAGGACCAAAGGTGTTCAAATCAATGGCATTCTCTGATGCTTAATTGGGCATTTACAAAGGCTCAAATGAGAAAAGCATTTATTTCTGATTCTTTTCATAATAAAGAATATGTTAGAATTCAGGCACATAAGAACTACATTGTCTACACCTTGTTTGTGTGATGCTAGGCAAAATAGCATTTATCATTCTAGTTGATTTTTTTGCCCCCCAAATTAGAAATTAGTACAGATTGCTTGAGAAATAGATACAGCACATTTCTCATTCTGCATTTTCATTGGCATTGAAGAGTAGCAGATAGAAGTGGACAGGAGTAAAAAGGAGGCCACATTCTGTGGTGCCTTTCTGCTTGTTCCTTTGGATACAAACCCGGAGATTTTTCAGTACTGTTTCCTTGGTGTTTTCAATTCATTTTGTGGAAGAACATGTTGGAAATTTTGATAAGATCAGAAGGAATTTGTTCAGGATTATTTTTTAAGAAAATATTTCTTAGGTATTTTCTAGACACAACTCATCCTTGTACTTAAAACTAAAACTAACACACATTTTTAAAAAAAGTTTATGTTTCATAGGAGAGACAAGGAAGTCCAAATAGCTACAATTTGAAGCAGGATATTAGAATAATGTAAAAAGGACAGGCACAATGTAGAACATTGCAGACACCGGGGGAGACTAGAGTTACCCAAGCAGGTTTTACCGGATATTCCCAGAAGAGATAGGGTCCCTATAGGCAAGGAAGGAGCAGAAAGGGTGAAAGCTGGGTTCTGCGGATGGAGACAGTGTCATGAGCCTCAGCCTGAGGGAAATACAGACTGATAAATAGTAAAACAGGGTGCTACTGTCAAAACTACATGAAGGGTGGGTTGGGGCAGAGTGGATGCCCATTGCTAGCTGCAGAGTCTGGGTTTTGCTAGGTGATGCAAAACCCTTGGAAGTTTAGATGAAGGTTTGGAAGGGTGCTCTGAGAGACTACTGTGGAAAAGAAATTAGTGTGGGGATGAAGGCAAGGAAGGAGTTTTTAGAAAAAGGTCTATCATTGTGGCTAATGTGGGAGACAATGAGGACACTAGCTAGACCTGCTCCAGCCAAGATGAAAGCCACAGGCCACATGTGGCCACTGGGTATTTGCTATAGGAATAAAGTACACATCAAGTTTGGAGATTAGTACACACAAAATAAATCATTGCACCAATGATTTATGTATTGGATAACTTGAAATTATAGTTCTTTGATCCTATTGGAATAAATAAATTTAAAAATTAATTCACCTGCATATTTTGACTTTTTAAAATGTGACTGTTAGAGCATCTAATATTAAATACTGGGCTTGCATTTGTGTTTCACATTACATTGAATAGCACCGAGCTATAGCAGTGACAAAATAAAAAGAAAACGTGAAAATGCATGAAGGGGTAGAAATGATGACCTATGGTGACAAACTGGAACTGATATTTGCTACATGTTAGGTGTGCTTGTAGATATTAAGCCCACAACACTGAGCAAGACAGTCTTTGTCTCAGGAAATAGTCAGGGAGCAGAGACAAAAATAGGCAAACATAGAAAGACAATTTCATTCACTGAGAAGTGTTATGGAAATAGCAAACAAAGCAGTGAAGTGTTCTAGAAAGAAGGAAGAAATACAAATGGCCTGAAGGTGGTCACATGGTTCAGGCTAAAGAAATGGAAAGAAGCCAGGTGTGGTGGCAGGCACCTGTGGTCCCCAAGGACTCAAGAGGCTGAGCAGGAGGAGAACTTCTCATGCCCAAGAACGACACAGGCAACATAGCAAGATCTTGTCTATGAAAAAAAAACGCGAGGTTGCTAGAATTTGTTAGTGAAGAGCGGTGGGCACAAGGCCTTAAAGATAGGCAAGAACCAGAATAGACAAGGCCCAGTGGGACAGAGTCAAAAGAGTGAATTTCAAACCAGGTATAATGGGAAGCTGTTGAGAATTTTTAATAGGTGAGGTGAAAGGGTTACAGTGGTAAGAAAAGGAGAGAGAAAACTCAGATGATTGTAAAATTTAATGCTGAAATTTGAAAAGTGACATTATCATTACTAGAAATAGGAAAGTCAGAAACAAATTTAACCAGAAATTAATGGTGCAATTTTGAATATTTTAAAATTTGTTTTAGGAAAATGACATGAAAATTCATTTGGAGAAATGTGGTGTGGGTTAGAGCTGGTGATTTCCAGTGCATTTGAGTTCAGTGTGTTTTAGTGAAGGGTGCACAACGGAGAAGGGTGTGCAGGGTTCCTAGGACTGACTCAGAAGACACCAGACTTGCTGGCTCCTTATTTAGCATGAGACAGAAGACAGTAACTTAAAGGTCACTGTCATTAGAGTTCATAGAGGAACCATTTATTTCCTTGATGTTGTGTATTCTAGATCGAATTTGAAAGGAGGAGGATAATGGGTGAGAGATATTTATATATATTCTCAAGGCCATTTATCTCAGTTCATTTTCAGAGCCAATTTATATAACAAGTTCTGTGAAACATTCACAACATGATAGTTTATAGTTTAAAACTCAATACATTCTAACAGTTTTGAAACCACCGTTATTAATGTTTACCTCTACAATGACATTCAGGGTATATTTCCTTTAGTTTGTAACTTTTAAAAGATAAGGAGCTGTTCAGAAAAATATTTGGAGCTGAGAACAGAATACAATAGAGAGATGGGTTCTCTACTTTTTAGTAAATACACATTCTCTAAGTATAAAGAGCAATAAAATAATTACCTTTATCTGGTCTTTGTATGGATACTTTATGGATACTGTTCGGTTATACTTTATGTGTGAAAAATTGTCTGGATATTTTTTATTATGCCCTATCTGTTAAAAAGTGTAATACTTTCTTTAATTCTGTTGTATAACATATTTTAATTTTTCATTTGTTTTCTTTCTTAATTAGGGAATTCCTGGATACAAGGGTGACAAGGTAAGTTGGTCACAACAAATATACCAAATTTTCAGAAAGAAAAACAGAAACATAATGTACTCATGTACTTAATTGCTTTTGAACAGAGGCATAGCTAGCTTGAAGAATTGAAACACTTTTCTACTTCTGATGTGAACAGTAAATAAATGTTATTTCTTCTTATTTTTGCAAGTCCAGATTCCTTTATTCCTAAGTACACTGCTTGTCTATAAATGTAAGTGTCTATCATTAAGAGATAACAAACAAATACTAATACAAGAGAGTTAGAAATTTTATGATTATAAAATTACCCTTTGGACAGTTGAGAACATTATAGATACTTTTCTCCCATCTTGACCTAAAAGAGCTAATTATGAACAGTATAAATATACATATATATACAGTTTTTTTACAAAGCTCATTTAATCTTCTGAAAATTTGTAGATTTACTGGAAGAATTCTCACTTGGAAAATGTAAGGTTTCAGAGTAAAGTGACCTCAAATGTTCACCATTCAAACTGGAACGTTACCAAGGGGAGGAGCACCGGAGGTCTAAGGCTGGGAACAGAGCTAATTTGTTCATAGTTTTGTGAAGGGTATGCTTTCTAGAACTATGTAACTGTGCCATTCCACAGGGATTAATGAGCCACCAAAAAGGGAAAACGCCTTTGCTGAGACAAACAACATGAATACAATATTTTCATTGACAGAAATCTGCCCCCAAAACAAATGCTGTTCCTCAAGACCCTATAGCTAACAAATCTGTCTGGACAAATGGAATGGGAATTCTGGCCAAAAGAATTTTGAGTGTATTTATGGTATTTTTCTGTTTTATATTTTGGTGGTTGACTCATTTTGTTCCCATCCAACATTAATAAATTAGTTGCTTTGTAATTGAGGTTTCAAGAGTGGTTTTCATTTTGCATTCGGAAATAAATGCTTAACTTGTTCTAAGTGAAAATTCAGTTTTTCCTGGGTCAGTTTGACTTACAAAATGATGTGGAGGTTGGCGGGGGGAGAGAGAGAACAGATTGCTTTAGAACAGAGACATAGCTAACTCGAAGAATTGAAGCACTCTTTTCTGCTTCTGATGTGAACAAGCTTTGGTCTACTCTAGAGAGAAGTATCAGATCAATGGAAAGTAACTTACAGGCTGGGATGGAGTGGCTAGCTCAGTTATGGGTGACTGACGTATGAACTTGGAAGTCTAAGGAGCTCAAGTTCACGGTCATGGGCAGATAATGTAATCTTTCTGAGTTTCAGTATATAGATCTCTCTGTCTCTCACTCTCAAAGTTGCCGAGATTTACATCATAGTCCTGTTAAGGCTCTGGTACACACTTTATACCCATCATTGTGATTACAATTGTTGTTTTATTCCTTAGAACAGTGCTCTTCAAAGTGTAGTCTGAATATTTGCTGTCAGTCTATTAATGGTTTTATAAAGCTTGCATCAGTGTATACATCCACTTTGTTACTAAATATACTGTTGAACTCAGCTAACATTTATTTTTCACAACACAACTTCCTTGATAAAGGAAGCAATGTGTTGAATTACATTCTGGTAAAATTTCCTTGTGTTGTTAGATAGCATCACAGTAAATAATATGTCCTAGAGCAGCACATAGATAATCAAATAGCAGCAGAAGCAGAAATTACCAATGAAGGCCCTGGACTAGGAGCTGTTGGCTAGGATGTACATGTGAGTACAGTGCAGTTTCCTTTATTAACAGTAAGAATGATTTGAGGTTCAGAGTAAAAATCACATATATGGATGTATTTTGAAAATGCTAAAATGTTTTATAAATTGGAGATAATATGACTATAAAACTTTAGAAAATTCTCTAACTGGCCACTACTTTTTAGTTCTGCTTACCAGAGGTCTTAAAAGTCTGATATACTGAATTCTTCTTGAGTGAACTACTTAACTTTTAAAAAATATTTGTCTATGTAAAAAACTCAATGGTAAATTTGTATAATTTGTCATGTACAACATGGTATTTTAAAATTTGGATACATTGTGAGACAGTTAAATTAACTCATTGAGTAAACATCTGCCTGTGGTGCTAACCACTAAAATCTTTTTTAATGATGTTAGAGAATGGAAGACATTGTATTAAGTATAGTCACTATTGTGGATGAGTCTCTTGAATTTACTGTTCCTAATTTAAATTTCACGTCCTTTAACTACTTCTCCTCAAACCTCTGTTATTTTATCACCATTCTACTCTGCTTCTACGAGCGCAAACTTTTTAGATTTCACTCAAGAATGAAATTACATAGTATTTTTCTTTCTGCATTTGGCCTGTTTCACTTAACCTATTTGCAAAATTCATCTGGATTGTCACAATGATAAAATTTTCTTTTTAGAGACTGATATTCCACAATGTATACATCAACTTTTTTGAGTCACAAATTTTCACTGTGTAAAGCTGAGTTGATAATATCTATTTCAGATGCTTAATATCAAACATTGTTTGAAAGGTATCATTCATAAGCTTTGAAGCGTAATTCTAATGTTAGTTTTCAGTGATAATTTCAGGGAAGACAGCATTGTAGAGTGTGACTGATAATGCAATGTGTGTAACAAGTTCACCTCTCACTCATACAGGCCTTGCCTGTCCTGCATGGCACTCTGCCCAGGCTGTGATGGCTTGATCTCAGAAACATTCTCCCATGGTTCTCTAGGAAACTCCGCTAATTCATTATGATTGGTACTTAGGCTGGAGCATGGTGCTGTGTTACCATAGAGATGAGTTTAGATCCTGCTAATTATTAGCCATATTATTGCAGGGCGTTCTTGCAGTGAGCTTCAGGACTGTAAAACTGACTGCATTGGGTCATAATGTGAATTCAATTAGGTATGCAAAATGACCATTTAATATGTGGCAAATGTTCAGTTTTTCTTCTAATTTCACCCATTTCTTGAAAATGACACACCTCATTAGGTGGCATCACGGACTTGATCCTGTCAAGTGAAGGATGAACTGTAAACAAAACTTTTCAGCATTCAGCGCCATCCAACTACAGGACTGAGCATAAAACTGTGTAATGTGCTTGTGTCATAAGATTCTGCTGGGAATCTTTACAGGAAATCCTAATGTGGAATGACTGGAAATGCCCTCTTATTTATTTTATTTTATTCTGTTTTTTTTTTTTTAGGGTGAACAAGGAGAATGTGGTAAACCAGGAATAAAAGGTGACAAAGTAAGGATGAACGTGATTTTTAAGTGCTAGCAGCTGTGCTTCTTTTGGGCCGTGTTTCCTTTGTAGGAAATTCCCCAGATGAATGAGGCAGCTCTTATCACTAGAGTTGCAGTATCAGTGGCTCAATTTTCACATCTGTAAAATATGAAACAAAGAAAAGGCTACTTAATCTAGTTTAGGGGGCCCCCAAGTGCCTTTCTGATAGACCAACCTAACCTTTAAGGCAGTCCTTATGGTGAAAGAAATAATTTAACCAACATAATCTACTTAAATTCCAACTGGTCCTAACAGAATTTCTTGCTAGAGCTAAACACTGAAATCAAGCATTTTCCAAAAAAAAGCAAAAAGAGTTTGCAAATTAGTGCAATAGAAACGTTGTGGCAGAGAACTAGAGATAAGGAGGGGCTTAAAATTTAGAAAACACTATTAAAATTCAACTAGATACAGACAATAGATAGGTATTTATCTTTAGTAAAAGTATAAATAAGGAAGACCGATGTACTGGTTTATGTCTATAATTTCAGCACTGAGAGAGGCTGAAGCAGGAGGATCTCAAATTCCTGTCCAGCTGGGTTAGCTTAGTGAGACCTTGTTACAAAATAAAAGATAAAAAGGGGGTGGGAATGTTTTGATTCCCAGTAGTGAATATATGTATATATGAATATATACATATATATATATGTATAGATATGTATAGATCTATACATGTATAGATATATGTATGTATATATACATATATATATATATGTATAGTATATATGAATAGAGAAAGAGAACTTAAACAGGAGACAATATCAGTATGTTTAAGTTCTGTAACAGACTAAAAAAGTATATAATAAGTACATTAAAAAACATAATGATAAGAGATACAAGGTATTACAGCCTAAACATCAATACTTTTCATTATAGTTAAGAACTGTTAATGGCAGGCCACCAAGATACTAAACTTTTAAAATATCTATATTATAATTATGAGAGGAAGCCAAGCAGAGAAAATGAGGCATAAGATTAAAAGATGATGGCAAGATGATGATGCTGCAGTTATTTGAACCTCAGTCCTGATGCTGAAGTTGCAGTCTTCCCTGTTCAATAGGACATATTCAGAAGACAGATGACAAATTCGGGGGAGGAAGATACTCTCTTTCCACGTATGCCACGAAAAGCAAAGTAGATGGGTAGGGAACTGTGAAAGTGCTTGTGGTCTCTGCCTCTTCAAGAAGCTGTCCTTGGAAATGAATCAGAAGTTGGACAGACTTATACTCAAAGGTTATTTGTTACAATGTTAATTAAAGTAGACATCACTGGAAATACTGTGATATTAAAAACTAAGAGAGTTGAATAAATTATATATTCTTGAATATCGTCTTGAAAAAAGTAGAAATCTGAAGAAAAGAGAAATTGGGCTAAATAGTAGTTCCATAAAATGAAGGGTTTCTGAATTGTGGGATACAATGACCTATTTTTTATTAGAAGCCTGTTGAGTTTAAACAGTGTTATATCAAGTTTCATGTTGTGAGGATGGGCAAAAGAAGCACATATAGACACAGAAACTCACTGAATTGTTAATTTAGAGACATTGCCTTATGGAAAAAAGTAGTAATTTGCCAAATTTACAGTCTTCTAAGGAATTCTATGGAATAACTGCTTTACGCTGATCACAATGTTATAATGACCCCAAATCACATGTAAAATTGGATGTTCATTGAATTTATCAAAGTAAAGTTTGAGTCTGAGGTTAGGTCTCTTGTTAATTAGGATAATTTCAGTTTGTTGGCTTTGATATTTGGGTAACAGGAAATACTGGCCATTATCTGGGACACATTCCCTTTCCTCGCACCTAAGCTCCTGATAAGTGGGAGATGGCTGCTGAGGAAGACTCACCACTCATTTTATTCCACAGGGAGCTCCAGGGCCATATGGGCCAAAGGGACCCAGAGGACTTCAGGTAAGTAGGCTAAAACCAAACCTAAGGTTGGATTAGAATCACTTGGAAAACTTTAAAAATCCCTTTCCTCACTTACATCCTTTACCAATTAAATCAGGATGTCTGAGAATTGGAGCTGGGCACTGATATTGTGTGAGGTGCTCAGAGATTTCCAATGTGCAGTATGGTTTGGAAACCTCTTACATAATGTTTTGATTAAACAGGCTTCCTGAAGATGGATACCAGCAGGCAAACCAAATTACAAAGTAGCTAAGGGAATAAAACATTAGTTTATGTAGAGGGAGAAAGTTAAAATAGTTTTGTTGGGTGTAATTAGTTTTGCATTGCCACCTATAATATAATTGGAAGAGTTCTGTATTTATCTCAATGAGAATATTTAGGTTCTACCACTAAATGTACTTAACACCCTGTACTTTGGAGTAATTCTTTAAGGCACTTATTTAACTTAAATCTATGGCACAGATTTCAGAAAATAATTTGTATATGTGCTGTCAAAGTGAGCACAAGATTCAGAATATGGTTTTGGTCACTTTTTTTCCAGGCCAGGCCTTATTTATTCTAAAGTTAGAGTGGATATGTATGTATGGAAAGAGCAACTTTTTGCATTTCAATGACCTGCTGAAAACTTTACCCATACGTTTTCTAGGCAACACTTGGTTAATATCAACCTTTAGGCTTTGGTCTGGAACTGTCAGAGTGAGGCAGTCTTGTTGATTGTGACAGGATCACTGGAAGCCTTGACAGGATCATTGGAAGCCGTAACTTTCAGTATATGCCTGAGATACTAAAAGGAAAAAAAATTGTTTAGCAGGAGAAATGTTTATAAAAAGAGCGGGTCCCAGGGATAGGTGTTGGAAATACAAGCTTAGATAACAAATATCTCATTATAAAATGTTTGCTATTAGTATAATTGTTATTTTATTTTATTTATTTTTTAAATTAAGTTTGTTGATACATTTTACATACACATAATGATCATATTCATTAGAGGGACTTTGTACCTGTACATGCTGTATCTTGATTCTTCATTTTTTCCCATTTCCCATTGTCCCGTCAACCCCTCTTCCTCTCCTTATTTACAGAAGTATTATTTCCATTTTTCCTTCTATTTTCTTTTTCCCTTCTCCCCTCCCCAGTTCCGCTTCCTACTGGAACATTTCTTCTTCTATTTCACAGTGTCTATTACAAATTTTGTCCTTATTTACACTTTTGATTTCTCACACCAGAGAAACCATGCAATATTTGAACACATTTGTCTGATTTATTTCACTTAAAAGTATGGTTTCAAGTGCATCCATTTACCTAGAAATGTCTCAAGTTTATCCTTACTCCACTGTATTAAAAAAAACACATCTTCTTTATTCATTCATCCATTGATGGTCATTTGAATTGTTTCTAAGATTTAGCTATTACAAACTGTGATGCTACAAACATGGGTGTGCATATATTGCTGTGGTATGATGGTTTTAATTTTTTGAGGAAGACATGGAGAAGGGAAATAGCTCAGTCAAATGGAACCTCTAGAGTTAGGTTTTTGAAGAATCTCCACACTGACCCCCACAGTGGTTGCACCAATCTGCACTCCCACCAACAGTGGAGTAGATTCCTTTTTTGCCCAAAGCCCCACCAGTACTTAGAAATCGATGTAATAATGGAAGTGAAAGACCTTTCCACTGAAAATTGCACAGTACTCTGCAAGAAGATATCAAAGAGGATATCAGAAAATGGAAAGATATCCCTTGGTCTTGGGTAGGAAGAATCAACATAGTGAAAGTGGTCATACTTTCAAAATGGTATACAGATTTAAAACAATCTTGATCAAAATACCATAAGCATACCTCACAGAATTACAGAAAACAATCCTAAAATTTATTTGGAGCTAGAAGAGACTTGGAACAGCAAAAGCAACTCTGGGTGACAAAGGTTAGGCAGGGTACATCACAATCCCTGACTCAAAATTATACTAAAAGCTACTGGGATAAAAATAGCATGGTACTGGTGAAAAAACAGACCCAAGGATCAATGAAACAGACTGCAAAAAGTGGAAACAACTCCAAACATACTCAATTGCCTTATCTTTGACAAGGGGCCAAACACCTTCAATAGAAAAATGATAGCATCTTTAATAAATGGTGCTGGAAAAATCAGCTTTTCACATATCAAAGGCTAAAACTGAACACATGTCTCTGATCATGCACTAATCTAAAATATTAAAACAGAAACACTAAATCTGCTGGGAGATAGAATGGGTAGAATCCTTGAAGACATAGATGTAGATAATTGTTATTATAGCTGCTGTTTATTTAACTCAAGAAATCTTGTCATCAAGTTTTTCACTGATCACAATAGAGCTCTGAGCCATGGAGCCTGATTTCGAACTCCAGCATCTTTGGAGCTCTAAAAAACATTTCATTAATGGTTGGCCTTTTGTGCATAGAACTAATTTTTGTTTTCATTTTGAAATAGGGAATTGGTGGACCTCCAGGAGATCCAGGCCCAAAGGGATTTCAAGGCAATAAGGTAAACTTACCTATTAGTTAAACATAAGGAAGAGTGGTTTCCCCTAGTGCATTATCTAAATGCATGTTTTTATTAGGCAGAAATCAATGAACTCTTTGAGAAAATAACTTTGGAATTACTGGATAACCTTCAGACAAATATACAGAACCCAGATAAAATATATGCAAGAAGTCATTGACATAATTTTTATCATTTATTAGCTTATTATTCAAAGGGCATCATTAAATGATTATCTAGAATTATAACTTTCTTCTTTACTTAGGACCTTTAGTCATTTGATGGCTTACTAGAAACTGAAAAACTATATCAAGTAACAATTTGAATCACCCTGTGTCTCACATGTAATGACATTTCAATATACAGTTTTGGGGAATGAAATTTATAATTGTTATACCAACAAAAATCAAGCAATTTTGACCATGAGTAGTGTGCTTGCAATATCATTCCACAGATAATCAGGAAAAAAAGACAGGGAGGGTGGAATAAAAAGTTAAATAGAATGAATTGCAAATATGTCCTAATAAAAACAGAAATTTGATTAAAAAATAGACCTGCTTATAAAAATTCCTTTCCCAAGAGAAGAGCCATTGATTTTCTAGGAGCAATCTTTTTAACTCTTCTCATTGCTTAATAAATTTCATGGGCGAAGTAAATATCCAACAAACAGTGTTGATTCAGACTGCTTTTGTGAGCAATGTGTGGCAATTACTAATTGCAGAAACTGCTGTCTTCAACTGATCCTACATAAAGCCAATCTTTTAAGAGTGGTATTAAATTTAAATGGTAGGGAGCAATTGGGTTACTTGAGTGTTAATTTTCCAGAGAGAGGAAAGGGAGTGACACATATGTATTTTTAATGAGATAATGACAGTTTGAGATTTCCCAGGCCACTTTTAATTGGCAAATTAAAATAGAATGGGCTTCTCAGTGGGAACATGCTTAAAAGCCTCATCTGTGGAAACTGTCTTTGCCAGCCTTTGCCTGTGATTAATTCTCTCTGAGAGAGAGAAATGGTCCTGTTGAATATTGAGTAGGTTTTCATAAAATCACACTAGCTATAGGTAAAACCCTGAAGCAAGAAAAAAGTTATCTGCAGAGTACAGATACATTTCCAGAATTCATTTCTTACTAAAATGATAATTTTAGGATTACAATTAGGGTCAGGGCAGGAGATAGTATTAGTGATAAAGTGATGAAATGTTTGATAAAATACAGTATTTTAAAAGCCATAGTGGCCCAACATTTTCATTTTGGAAGTGAGAACCAAAGCCTGGAGATATAGCTTGCCTGAGTCAGAGACTTGGGCAGGCTCCTACGCAGGTTCCGGAGGACAATGTGGGGATGGGTGGGGTACAGAGGGAAGGCTGGAGCAGTGTGCAGGGCCTTAAGATCCCACAGGAACCGCAGGGCTCCTTGGAGACAGATCTATGAAAAGCTGCCCTCACGTGATCACTTCTTTTTATGTCTGATAGACTTATGACTTAGATTAAAAAACAAATCTATTTCAATGAAATTTAGTTTTTAATTCCAACAATGTATTAATTCTTGGTAAATAATGAGTCCAATGACTTTGTGGGAGGTAGTAATAATTTTTCTGACATAATAGTGCTTTGTGTTTTGACTGTCACAGTATAATCATAAGAGGAATTATTTTCCAAATGAATTTGAGGTTTTCATGAATTACCCAAGGGTATCTCTTTACAATTTTTAATGAAAAAATTTTAAATTAAAAATTTAATAGTGGTAAAGTATACATGACATAAGGTAATCGTTTAATAAAAAAGTTTGCCATTTAATAAAAAATGAACTAAGTGAATATATAAAGTTCATTGCCAATTAAAGGAAGTCAAACAAGTGATATCTTGAGTCTTTTAAAAAAGACAATTAGGGGCTGGGGATTTAGCTCAGTGGCATAAGCACCTGCCTTGAAAGCAGGCAGTCATGAGTTCGATCCCTGGTACCGATAAAAATGAAAAAAAGCCAAAAAAAAAAAAAAGACAATTAATGCTTTTTATATGATTTTTATCATTCTTTTGATTGTTAGCCAGAAATGCATGACACATTGATTAGTTGTTAATTATTTTTCATTTTGCATATTTATGAGTATATTGTCTTAAAAATCAGATTTCAGCCAATGATTTCATTTTACTTCCTAGAAAATATTCCTACAATCTGAAGCTATCAATTATTTTGTCCCTCAGTCTGGAAGTAATGTTATATTGGATAGTGACTTTCTTTTTTTTTTAACTTTAAACAGAAAAAGTATAAAATAACAATAAAGCAGAGTTTCAAGCAGACTAGTAGAAGAGTACCAATAATCAACATGTATTCACAGTAGTTGTTCACAGTATAAGATATAGGCATGAAACATTGTCCAGAAAATTAACACAAAACTTTCTACTCAACGAACCAAGAGCAACCAGCTGTAAAACAATCTTAACTGCCTTGTGTGTGTGTGTATTTATGTATAAATTTTTCCTTTTCCTTCCTTTTCCCTTTTTTCCATCACAGTTTTTCTTTCTTTTTGAACAGTTTCTTCTCTGTTCACCATATCTATTGTGTATTTTGGATTTTGTTTACCCTTTCAGATTCTCACACTAATGAGACAATATGTTTACGCATGTGAGTCTGGTTTATTTCACTTATAAATATGGTTTTGAGTTGCAAAAATTTACCTACAAAAGTCTCAAGTTTATCCTTATTTATGACTGAGTGGTACTCCATTATAGAAAACACCCACATATTTTTTATACATTACTCAGTTGATAGGCATCTGAGTTGTTTCCAAGATTTAGCTGTTACAGACTGTGCTGCTATCAATATAGATGCACATACATTGCTATGGTATGATGCTTTTGATTCTTTTGGCAAGAAACACAGAAGAAGAATAACTGGGTCAAATGAGACCTCCAATACTAGTTTTTAAAATCTAATTTTTAAAGAAATTTCCCGACTGATTTCCAGAGTGGTTGCACCAACAGTGGAGGAGGGTTCCTTTTTCTCCACAGTCCCCCAGCATTTGTTATCGGTTATATTCTTTTTTTTTTTTTTTTTTTTTGTCTTTTTCGTTTTTTTTTTATCGGTACCAGGGATCGAACTCATGACTGCCTGCTTGCAAGGCAGGCGCTTATGCCCCTGAGCTAAATCCCCAGCCCCTATCGGTTGTATTCTTGAAGACAGCCATGCTTTCTGAAATGAGATGATATCTCAGTGTTGTTTTAACTTGCATCTATTGAATGACCAATGATGTTGAACATTTTTTCACATATTTATCTGCTGTGTATTTATTCATCTGAGAAGTTTGTATTCATCTCAGATGCCCATTTTTTGGACTGTATCTTTGAATTTTGGGGACCTGATTTTTTAAAATTGTCTATATGTTCTAGATATAACTTCTTTGTCTGAGGGACAACTGGTTATATTTTTCTTCCACTCCATGGGTTGGTGATTTCTTTTGTTATGAAAAAACTTTTTAATAAGATGAGATCCCATTTGTTGAGTCTTTATTTCACATGTGCTCTAGGTTTTGTTCATGAACTCTGCTTATACCTATGTTTTCAAGATTTCTATCTGCTTTGTCTTCCAGTAGATTTAGTGTTTCCGTTTTAATATTTAGATCTTTGATCCATTTTGTCTTTAGTTTAGTACAAGTGATAGATATGGGTGTAGTTTTAGTCTTTGACATATGGAAAACCAGTTTTTCCAGCACCATTTATTAAAGAGACTATCTTTCTTCTGGTGAACATTTTGGCTCTTTTGTCGAAGATAAGGTGGTTTAGTGTGTTGTAGTTGCATCTGCATCTTCTATTCTGTTCCACTGACCCTAGTTCTGTTTTGTTTTTGCCAGTACAATGCTGATTTTATCATAGTGCTTTGTAGTATAATTTCAGGTTGGGGATTGTGATGTCTCTTGACTTGCATTTATTGCCAAGAGTTACTTTTGCTACTCTAGGTTTCTTCTGGTTCCAAAATGAATTTTTGGAAATGTTTTCTTTAGTTCTGTGAGGTATACTAATGGTCTTCTGATTGGAATTTCATTAAATCTGTATAATAGTTTTGGGAATATGGCCATTTTCACTATGTTGGTTCTTTCTATCTATGAACAAGGGGTATTGTTCCCTTTTCTGATATCTTCTTTGATTTTCTTTTTCAGAGTATTGTAGTTTTCAAAGTATAGATCTTTGATTTCTTTTGTTGTAATAATTTTTACATATTTCTAAAATGGTATTGTAAAGGATGTAGTTTCCCTAGTTTTTTTTCTGTAAGCTTGTTGCTTGTGCACAGTAATGCTATTGATTTTTGAGTGTTGACCTTGTATCCAACTACATTACTGAAATTGATTATTACGTCTGTAAGCCTTTTGGTGGCGCTTTTGGGGTCTTTTATGAAGCACATCATGCCATTTTCAAATCATGACAGTTTAACTTCTTCCTTTTTATCTTTATTTCTTTTATTTTTTCTCCTGGCTAATTGCTCTGGCTAGTGTTTCCAGAACAATATTGAATAGGAGAGGTAGTAGTGGACATCCTTGTCTTGTTCCTAATTTTAGAATGAAAGCTTTTGGTTTTTGACCATTTAGTTTGGTGTTAGCTATTGGTTTGTCATAGATAGCTTTTATCAGATTAGTGGCCTATTTCTTTTCATCTGCTATCATTTTATTAAAATACTTTTAAGGAACTAATATTATACATTATGCAAAAACATCTTAAAAATCTAGTTATTCTGTATTTCCTGTGGGCATACAGAATCATTTGTTTTGAAACTTCTAAAATAATAGTTAACATTTATTAAACATTTTCGGTGTTCAATACATTTCAGACACTTACATTTACATGTAATGTCAATACCACATTCTGAGGCATGATCTACTCTTACTGTCCATTGTACAAATTAAGCTACTAAGGCACAAAGATTTGAAATAATGGGTCTGAATCTACAGAATAAGGATTGAAATACAGAAGTCTGCTCTTAACAATCATATGCTATTGATTCCTTTGAGA